GATGAGCGAATTATTCAAAAATTCGGTTCGGCTGATTCGCCGAATTCGCCGAATAAATTCGCTTCGAGCCGAATATATTCGCTGCGAATTTAACTTATAAAAAGGGTGTTTCTAGGCTTCAGAGAGCCTTTATATTAGTGCAGAACACTGTACCTTTAATTTAAATGCCCTTGGAGTCTGCTGGGGAAGAGAAATAATACTGTCAGTCAGTATGACATGCAGATGAGTGCCGTCGATCTTAGAATCACCGCACACTTCACTCATTTGGGCAGTCACGGGGCCAAAACCAGAGTGTGGAGCCACAGTGTGGCGGTGGAGGCAGCAGCAATGGGAGGCCATACAGCACCCTATGACAAAATGGAACCCACCAGCAGTGTGAGGAGACCTGAAAGTGGCACATGGCAGAGTGTGGCGATGGAGACAGCAGCAATGGGAGGCCGTACAGGGACCCATGACGCACTCTGGACCTGGCAGCAGCATGAGGAGGCGGTACAGGGGCCCATGACAGATTACGGGCCTGGCAGCAGCATGAGGAGTCGGTACGGGGGCCCATGGCAGATTACGGGCCTGGCAGCAGCATGAGGAGGCGGTACAGGGGCCCATGGCAGAGTGGCGGAGCGTAAGCAGCTAAAATTGAAGGCCATACAGAGGCCTATGTTAAAAAGTCCCCCCAGCAGCAGCGTGGGGAGACGACTATCAAGAGTCCAATGGCAGAGTGGCGGAGCAGAAGCAGCTTCAATTGAAGGCCATACACAGGCCTAGGTTTAAAAGTCCCTCACAGTTAATTCCAATAACGAACTCTACTCCTCCGTGCAATCTACTTACGAGACCCTGGGCAGGTCTGGGTCCAATTTGTGGTAGAGACTGGTTTTGTTCAGCCATGCTTGAGCGAGTAATAACAGGTCTGTGCTGCCCTTTGGTGTCTGGCTTAATGCGCACAACACTGAACGTCCCAGCGTTTGTCAACGATTTGCCGTTAAGTGATGCAAACCCGCTGAACCACGTTCATGAGGAGCCGGTACAGGGGGCCATGAATCAGTATGGACCTGGCAGCAGCGTGAGCAGACGACAGAGGCACATGGCGCAGGGTGGCGGTGTAGGCAGCATTATTCTGAAGCCATACACAGGCCTAGGTTAAAAAGCGGAAGCCGTCAGCAGCGTGAGCAGACGACAGAGACACATGGCGCAGGGTGGCGGTGGATGCAGCAGTAGTATTCGGAAGCCAAACACAGGCCTCGGTTAAAAAGCGGAAGCCGTCAGCAGCGTGAGCAGACGACAGAGGCACATGGCGCAGGGTGGCGGTGGAGGCAGCAGCAATGGAAGGCCATACAGCACCCTATCACAAAATGGAACCCACCAACAGTGTAAGGAGACCTGAAAGTGGCACATGGCAGAGTCTGGCGATGAAGTCAGCAGCAATGGGAGGCCGTACAGGGACCCATGACACACTCTGGACCTGGCAGCAGCAAGAGGAGGCGGTACAGGGGCCCATGGCAGAGTGGCAAAGCGTAAGCAGCTTAAATTGAAGGCCATACAGAGGCCTATGTTAAAAAGTCCCCCCAGCAGCAGTGTGGGGAGATGACTATCAAGAGTCCAATGGCAGAGTGGCGGAGCAGAAGCAGCTTCAATTGAAGGCCATACACAGGCCTAGGTTAAAAAGTCCCCCCAGCAGCAGCGTGGGGAGACGACTATCAAGAGTCAAGAGTCCAATGGCAGAGTGGCGGAGCGGAAGCAGCTTCAATTGAAGGCCATACACAGGCCTAGGTTAAAAAGTCCCCCCAGCAGCAGTGTGGGGAGACGACTATCAAGAGTCCAATGGCTGAGTGGCGATCCGGGAAGTCAGCGTTGTGATTGCAGATGCAATGCAGAAATTTTATGAGGTAATGCCGTGGGTGCGAAGAAGATCATATACCGTCGTACTTCCATCCATAAGACGGAACAACCTGCGAACCGGGAGCTTTATTGCCCTGACCCGCTGAGCAGCTTCTGGGATACCCAAGAGTTTGGCTTCTGTGGGGAATATGGTTGAAAACTGAAACTTAAAGGCATGTTGACGGAAGGGCACCAGTGTCAGTGCTCCGGAGGGAATATAGCTTCAAAGCTGACACTTAAAGGTATATCGACGGTCAGAGACCACAGGAAGTGGAGCTTGCGTCTTAAATCGACTGAATGTGGCAGACGTGAAACGTCTACGGGCCGTATATGAAACGGGTTGTTCCTCTTTCTGGAATAAGTGTTGGAAATGGCCACTCTTTTTGGTGTGGCGTTTTGTCTATTTAATTCCGATAACGGACTCTACTCCTCCGTGCAATCTAGTTACGAGACCCTGGGCAGGTCTGGGTCCAATTTGTGGTAGAGACTGGTTTTGTTCAGCCATGCTTGAGTGAGTAATAACAGGTCTGTGCTGCCCTTTGGTGTCTGGCTTAATGCGCACAACACTGAACACTGTGTCCCTGAGTAACGATTCTGTGTCCCTGAGTAACGATTCTGTGTCCCTGAGTAACGATTCTGTGGCCCTAAAGTCTCTGTGGCCCTAACTCTGTCCCTTAATACACACAGGTCTGTCTCTCTTGAATGACCGGAGGCTAATGGAGAATTCTAAGATGGCCGCGATTTATAGCTCCACCATTACACAGTGCTGGCTGGCTGCTGATTGGCTAATGCGATCACATGTCATGAATGCATTATGGGTCAGCGCGCCTTGTCTGCGCGCCTTCCCAGAGATCCCCGCCCCATCTTCTCTGTCCATTTTCTCCGTCGCCACACATGTCGCCGCCATTTTTGGGAAAATTCGATTCGTGCATCCGAAGTTTGCTAATCTTCGGATTCGTCGCGAATAGAATTTTTCCAAATCTTCGGAACGAATTCCACTTCGTCATGTTCGATTCGCTCATCTCTAGTTAGGATGCATTTTAAAGGATTAGTTCACCTTTTCAGAAAAGGTAACAACTTACACCAGGGTATTTTTCCTCCCACTGACCACATTAGAGAAGTTGTTTCTACTGATCACTGATCACATAGGGTATTTTTGCTTCCACTGACTCCAGGCATTCTTTTTTGACCCAGACCAGCAATATAAGGGACACTGTAAGGGATATTTACTAAAACTGGGGCACCCACAATCCGGTGCAGCTGTGCATGGTAGCAGATCAGCTTCTAACTTCAACTTGTTCAATTAAGCTTTGATAATAAAACCTGGGAGCTGATTGGTTTCTATACAGAGCTGCACCAGATTTTGCACCATGCAGTTTTAGTAAATCTCCCCCATGACACAAATTCCTGACTGCTGCACATACAATACATATGTGTATATTACATAGCCATGTCTGCTGTACTCTATACATGATATTGTACATTACATAGAAATAAACACTATTCTGTAAGTTATGCTATACATTATTTACTTCTGGCCAATGTGTTTATTCTGTTTTAATTAAGTTGTTCTTTAGGGTATACTCAGAAAAAGTCTTAGCTCCCTGTCCATATTCTGTTTTATTTTTTTTTTTATGCTCCGTAAGGTTTATATGCATCTGTGAAACTCTCACACATAACATAGTAATCATTAAGTATTTTGTGGATACACAGACTGTGGGAAATGTGTGCACTACAGTATATACAGTGAGTAGACTCTAAAACCACACCCAATATTCAGCATAATGTAGCCATGGCTGGGGGGGGTTGGGGTGCTGTGTGCAGATTTCAGAGGCAACACAACTTCTCTTTTAGGCATTTAATATAAAGAGTAATCAGCAGGTACAACAATATGTTATTCTTCTCCAAAGTTCAACTCTGTACAATGGGGCTTTTATATCCAGTCACAAGCCAGTTCAAAGGCAGGACTATACAAGAGGTTGCTCGAGGTGTGCTTGCAGAATTGAGGTTCCAGGGGACTGGCAATACTCTTAGTGTCCTGTCCCAGTATGGCAAGCCGACTCCACAGGTGCCCAGCAGCCTCCCTAAACCACTCCTGCTCAACTGGTGAGCAGCACAGTGGCTAAATGTTTATCACTTCAGCCTGGCAGTACTAGGGTCATTGGCTTGAATTCTAACCACGCCACCACTTGCCTGGAGTTTGCATATTCTCGTGTGCCATTGTGGGTTTCCTGCAGGTACTCTGGTTTCCTACCACACTCCAAAGACATGCTGATAGGTTAATTGGATCCTGTCTAAAATGGCTTTAGTATGTGTATGTATGAATATAAGTTAGGGAAAACTTAGATTGTACACCCCTTGAGAGTTAGGGACTGATGTGAATGTACAATATACATGTAGAAGCACTGTGTAAATTGACAGCACTATATAAGCACCTGAAATAAATAAAAACATTTATCTATTGCTAGGTCTACCTATCCCTCACAAGTGGGTCTCCACCTGAAACTTCTCACTCTGTGAATGCTCCAAAATGACATAGCAGGGCTGTATACAGGGGCGGACTGACCATTTGGAAACTCTGGCACTGTCCGAGGGCCCGGGGTCAGTAGGGGGCCCCATGAGATGCCCCTGGTACCTTTTTTATAGGCTTTTTTGAGTTTGGGCAAGGACACAGGAGCCCCATAAGTTGTCAGTCCGCCCCTGATTGGCCATCAGTACTTCAGGACTGGTCCATTTTCAGATATATACCATAGTTTGTGGGCTCTATAACTTTCCTTCAGACTAAATAATATACACTGGTTATTTTTACCAATGAAATATAGCAGAATACATTGAATACATACTTGACCTAAATTTATGAAGAACAATTATTTATTTGCAAAATTTTATAAGAGAAACGGAAAAAAAATTTTTTGTTTTCAAAATTTTTGGTCTCTTTTTTGTTCATCTTTCAAAAAATAAAAAACCCAGTAGTGATTAAATACCACCAAAAGAAAGCTCTAGTTGTGTGAACAAAATGATAAAAATTTAGTTTGGGTACAGCTAGGGGCAGACTGACCATTTGGAAACTTGGGCACTGCCCAAGGGCCGGGGGGTCAGTAGGGGGCCCCATGAGATGCCTCTGGTACCTTTTTCATAAGCTTTTTTGAGTTTGGGCAATGACACAGGGGCCCCATGATCCCCTATTGCCCGGGGGCCCCGTGAGTTGTCAGTCTGCCCCTGGCTGTATACAGTATATAACCTCTTTGTCTCAAATATGTCACATTTCAAGAGAACTTTGTGTTCAATTAGACACATCCTATCCCATATAGACACATTAACTTCATGGCAGAGTAAAAACTGATGCCATGCTCAACTACCCACTTAGATGGAACAAAATGCAAGAACTTCCTCTAAAAGGATTTCAATAAAAGAACTAAAGGACAGGTGGGCACATGTAATGGTAAAAAATAAGAACTACACCAAAAATCTCACAATTTCAGCAAAACAACAGGGGACTAACACTCATTACATGCCCACTTTCTGCCACAGTGCACATAGTGCTACATGTTTAGCCCCCTCCAGGGTGTCCGTCTTTCCTTTATAAAGTTAGGAGTTATGGATTGGCAGCTCTTTTGACAAGTAGTTTGGGATACGCACACATCTTAATAAAAAGCACTCTCCAAAATAGAAATGGGAATGTTTGTATAGGTGGTTGCAGTTTACTAGCTTAGAGGAGAAATAATGTATAGGCAAAACTGCAACCATGTACAACACTGTAGGCCAGCCACATTATCAACGCTTATTAATCCTCATTTACAATGGTGCTAAGACCTGTACATTTTGAATGAGTCATTTGTTTACGTATTCCTAGCTGGTAGATGCTGCATGCAGGCAACCTATTCAAATCTATGAGGATGCAGCGGCTGCACGGACACAGCAGCTTGTCCTAATCTGCTGGGTGTGAGTGACCAGCACAGGATGCCCACTTGTCTGTAATTTGGGCTGCTCACCAACTCCCGTATGCCTTTCACATTAGGATGAGTGTGGACATGTGACCATCCAGCCATTGCATCTTGATGGACTTAAATGGTCTGCCTGCACCCAGCATCTGCCAACTAGGAGATTATAGACAAATGGCCCATTCACAGTGTACAGACCTCAGTGCCCATGTGAACGAGGCCTTAGGCATTGAAGAAAGAGCCTACAGAAGCCAATTCAGTTTATATAACCTACGATCAACCCTTACCTAAATCCAATCCCTACATTCAGTTCCTCAAAGCTATCCAAAGCAGCATTTCGTTTGTAGGCCTCCATCAACATTATGACAATCTGGAACACAAAGTGGCTGGCCAGCAAGTATTTCCATTACTGTATATGTACAACCTAGCATGTAATCATCTCTAAGTTAGTTCTGGAAAAAGAAACTTGGCTGAAACATCATAAATATCAAAAAGCGTGTTTTTTTTTTTCTTTCCCCACCATATTCTGAGATTTTACCTTCCTCTTAGACTGACATATTGCACCCTGGATATATATGTAAACCAATACTTTACACAAAGTGTAATTGTGGACACTTTAGAATGTTTCCAATGTTCTGAGAAGCAAATATTACAAAGATGACATTGCCTCTTTCTTGTGTATCAAACCGTCTCCTCTCTGCTTAGATAGAGTAAGCGTATGTCCTATGGTAATTACTCGGAAGAAACCAGCTGGGTATAAATCTAGCAGGCTTTTTGGCCTTGTCAGATTAAAACTTACCTATCAACCAGCTCCAGTCCTTTACATCTTCCTAAATCCGCGCTGGTGGCAGAATTTACGACCAAGAATTGCATTTTGCAAAATGATTAAACTTCCCAAACATCCATAAAAAAGTTGCAAGCGGTTGTTCTATGGGTTTTATTTATTTTATTTTTTCTCGCACAGGCTGCTTAATTTATAAGGCTGGGTGGGGGAGGGGGATGAATCGGGGGAGGATGGCATTAATGGTTCACAGACACACTGAAATTCTGTATTTCCCTCTCTCGGTTTTCGGCGTATTGTATATGGTTGCATTGTTGTCATGTACAATAATGGATTAGCCATGATAAAATACTTCAGGAGACATGGCACGGAAAGAAATTAACCCTTTCCTTGTGCCGAAAGATGCGAATATTCCTGATAAGGAGGTAACTGTTATTTTGCGATTTTACACTGTATTCAAATGACGGATATCTGCAGACAGGAAGGAAAAAAAAGGACTTGGAGTGGAAAATGATGGTAATACAGCGTGAAACGGGGCTAAATATCAGTTAGGCTGACTGCAGTTCTGTTCTAATCTATTATTTTCACACCTATCTCGTCCTTTTGGCCAGGTCTCAGGAACCGTTAGCTAATTAGAGATACTTGAGCAACGTGCTGCTCCTGGACACTCATTGCTGTCTTACTGCCTGCACTGTATTCATTCTTTGTATAATTTTCAATGTTATGCATGCAAAACCCATCCTCCTACTGCTCCCTTTGCAAATCAATTATAAATAGTTTGGGCAGAGTGCCAGATGTCTCGCTGTAGCACCTTCCTGGTTTCGACACATGGATTAAAGAACAAACCATCTACTCGTTTGCTTTAGCAGATGGTAATTGAAAAACCTTGCCCCAGCTCACGTGTTCTGGGATATGCACAGGAACAGGAGCCAAAAAAGAACGCCACGATTGCCCACATGATTGCCCACACGCTCCTGTGTTATGCTATTGACCATATTAGCGGCTCAACATCTTCGTCCAGTATTCAGCACTCACTTGGTTTTGGGTTGTTCTGACACTTCGAATTTAGAGCTTAAAACTTAGAACACTTGTAATTTTGGGTCAGCATAGGTTAAATAAAAAGGCCAAGAAAATTATTCAGAGTAATTTAAGGAATATTATTATTATTATTATACAGGATTTATATAGTGCCAACAGTTTGCGCAGTGCTTTACAATATAAATGGAGACAATACAATTACAATACCTTTCAGTACAGAAGGAATGTGAGGGCCCTGCTCATGGAGTTTAAAATCTAAAGAAAAGGGGAGGTGATAAAAAGTTGATAGCTGTGGGGGATGATCTGGAGGAGGTGATTCAAGTACAGTTACTAGGTGGAGGTTAGGTAGGCTTCCCTTAACCACTTGCCGTCCGCCTGCTGTTTATAAACGGCAGGGCGGTGGCAGTCCAGGGGCAAGTTGCCATTCATAAACGGCACCCGCCTTTTCTAGCTATGCGCGCTCCCTGGGAGCGCGCAGCACCGCGATCTGGTGCCCGCTGTGTCCTCCGGACACAGTGAAACACCGATCGTCTGTACGAGGTCCCAATCATGTGATCACTGATTGGCCAATCAGTGATCACATGCAAAGTAGTAAGCAAGATGTCACTTGTGACATCATTGCTTACTACGTGTGAAATCTGGGAATGATCACAGAGGTCACATGGTACAAGGCTCTTCACAACAGCCTTGTACCATGTGACAAGCTGTGACCAATCACAGCTCACTCAGTACTTCTCAATGACTGCAAGAATGCAGACAGAGAGAAAGAGAAATGATTGCTTTTACATCCTATATGGGTGTAAAAGCAATCAGTGTAAAAAAAAAAAAAAACTCTTCATCACCCCCCACAAGTACAGTGTCACCATGGTGTCACCCTGCTAGGGTGACAGTATGTTAAAAAAAAAATAAAAATAAAAAATAATAATATAAAAAATAAAATATAAATGTAAAAAAAAATGTTTAAAAATTATAATTTTTGGTTATAAACTAATTTGGATTTTTTTTTATTTACTAAAAAAATAACTGAATAAATTTTGGCCAAGATTTATGATGAAATATTATTTATTTGCAAAACTTTTTTTCAAAATTTTTGGACATTTTCATTTACATAGTAAAAAAAATAAAAATCCCAGTGGTGAATAAATACCACCAAAATAAAGCTTTATCTGTCTCAAAAAAATGGTAAAAAAATCATATGGGTACAGTATTGCATGACCGCGCAATTGTCATTCAAAGTGTGATAGCACTGAAAGCTGAAAATTGCCCTGGACAGGAAGGGGGTAAAAGTGTCCGGACAGGAAGTGGTTCAGAAGTGAGTTTTCAAAGATCGCATAAAGGCAGACAGGGTGGGGGCTGACCGGACATGCTGTGGTAGAGAGTTCCAGATGATGGGAGAGGCTCTGGAGAAGTCCTGGAGGCGAGCGTGATATGCAGCCTTATCTAGGTTTATGTAATATAAATATACATCCATGCAAATAGATTATAAAAAGTTTCATCAGATCGTGTTTATGTTGTAATACAGTGCTTCTTTACTTAGGTTTTAATTATACATGTACAAATTTTATTGAATACGTATACATGTAGGGCTCAGTAGTATAAATTAGTGATTGTGCTTTACTGTTACCTGTTTTTTTCAATGGATGTTTATGGTCAGCTCAGATTCCTTGAATGACATGCAACTGATGTTCACCCTGTAACTTATCTGAATAAAGCAAGAATTCAGCAAGTATGCTGATTGTACTTTAAGGTAGGTGTGTGCATTGCAGTGCACTTTTGTCAGCTCCTACTGTATTTATACAAAACGTGGAACCATAACACACAAAGTAGCTAGCACTACTGCCATTTACAGAGCGTTAACACAATGCATATGTGAAAAGGAGACCTAAAGGTTTCAAGAAATCTGCTGGAAACTTTCTGAAAGTCTTGCAAATGCTTTGTAAAATTGGTTATATTTACAGTGTTATACAAGCTGAAATATCCATACAAGGTGTGACGGGAGTCACTTTGGGTGGGGGGCCCATGGAACACAGCTCCCATTGGAGGGGTGGAGAGACCCCTGTCTCAGCTCCCCATATCCCTCTTATGTGTAAGTTACCCTGTGTCTCTTAGGGGCACAGGGTGACTAATGGATGCTGAGAATGTGGTTGGAATTACTTCAGATGTGCCAGTAATATTTATCAGCTATAAGACTATTCCTGGTTTTTGATTCTGAACTAGACATGTGAATTTAAGGAGCTGGACCCTCTGCTCTTTACTGAGAGATCCTAATTCATCCAGCCATTTTCTAGGTGTGAATTTCCATTCACCTTTTGTTTTGATCACCCAGCTAGCTAACCTAGTTGACTTACTGTTTAGAGTGTTAAGTCTATTTCTGTATATAGTTGTGTTTGCATATCATCATGTGATCAGTCTCAGTGTGTATTGTATAAAAAGCCTGTTTGG